CAAATAATTTCTCTTGGTTACACTTTGTAATTCGAAAGTTTTGACAATTAATATTGAATTTTTAGACTGATATTTACTTCAATTATATCTAATACGTTGAATTAACGACCAAATAAATTGCTTTTAATTTAAAAATAAATGAATTACGAAAACTTTCCAAGTGGGACAAAACTTCAGAATACATAATGACAACCTATTACCTTGCGTTTATTTTATTAAAATTTTCTTTGATGCACACGGATAAAACATTTGTTTTTATGTAATTAATTATAAACACTCCTTTACATCTTACTACAGCATCTTATCGCGTTTTGGTTTTTGATAAAGTTTGTAACTTTTAAGAAAAATTACTAGAAAGTATTTTCCTCGCGAAGAAATGTTAATGCTTGCTGGTTAATCTAGTTCTCTTTTTAAACTTACTAATTTTTCACTTAAGGGAAAAAACTGTTCAAATATAAAATGTAATTTTGAGGGTATTTATCTTTTGACAAGTTCGAAAAGAAATCCATCATCATGAATTATTTTAACAAGATTTATATTACAATGTAACTATTGAACTCTATTTGTGAATTTTATGGAGCGCAGCACTCGTTATTGTTTACACGTTTATCTGCAATTATTTTTAATGGCAATGAAGATAATGTAAAGTTCGACTCCAGATCATTAAAATCATAAACCTTTCTTCAAATGTTTATCATAATAATTACTGTAATAAACATGCAAATTAATTTACAGAAAATGTAATCGTTACCCATATAAAATTGCGTCGGAGGCCGAATACAGTCCGTGCGCTGAATAAGGGCGAATATAGCCTCGAATCTCATATTGGTGTATACCAATACGAGATCTTTTCTGTAAAGAATCGTTGTGTAGCAAGTTGATGATTCAAAATCTCAAGGTGGTGAAATTTAAACACGCTTTAAGGAATGCTGGAAAGATGCTTAGTTCGTACATAAGATATATCAAATTCTACTGGAAGTAAATTCTAACAGAAGTGATTGCATGTCGCCAATTAAAGATAAGAGTGAATCCTTATATATAATTTTATAAACAATACATTAAATATTTTTTAAGCAGATTTGTCCAATCATCAATGTGTAAGAACTTTTATCTGCATTTTTAAAACGTTTAAGTTAAAATATATCTGATTTCTAAACTATTCATAAATTGTACATAAATTTATAGGATAGCCAGGCTTTCTCATCAAGGCCGCTAAACTCTGCACAGCCAGATCCTTCGTTTGTAATATATGAAAAGTGCCCAAAGAACTGTACTTATATGACTCATAGTTTTTGAAATAAATGTGAAAGAAAAGTATAACGTCATTTCCAGTAGAAGGGGGGAAAACTGCATTGGAATCATAAACATCGGTATTTGCATACAAAGGTGTTCGAAATATTAAACCGCACATATCGAGACATGAATGCGCGACGGCATGGAATGACGTCAAGTTGTCGTTTGAATCTCATGCATCCAGAAGCTAACGGTAATTTTCGGTTGGTGATAGTGTAGTTCCGTTCGCGAATTTGTGACATGGGTTTTACCTTCGGTCACTGTAATTTTTAATGCCTTGGTAGGAAACGTCAACTTGACACACAATCTCCACAATTTTGGTGGATGAACGCACGGCGAGCTTACACCAGCACAGAAAGTTGCAAGACTTCGGCGGGTGGAAGAAACAAGTTGAGCACACACGCACTAGCCAGGAAACTGAATGCGAGTAGCAGTATTGTGCACAGCACACTGTTGCGGTCACCCATGCAAGGTGTACATCAAGATGACTTTCAGACACGCACTGACTTTTGTGAATGGCTATTGAAACAACATGAAACCGATAATGCTTTTATTGTACACATCTTGTGGACAGATGACACATGCTTCACACGTGATGGTATCTTCAACAGCCATAACAGCCATATGTTGTGGGAATGCAATACTCATGCAAACCGCCCGCAGATACATCAGGTCCGCTCTGTAAGTATGTGGCTCGGCATTCCAGGCAATCTTTATGATTGGACCATATCTTCCGTATGAACGGCTCAAAGGATAATCATACTTGGTATTTCTTCGTGACATATTAACCAATTTCTTAGATGACATACCCTTAGCGACAATACAAGGCCTATGGCTCCAGCACGATGGAGCTCCAGCGCACTTCAGCCCTTTTTAAGGTGACTGGCAGGATATGGCCACTAGATTGGACGTAGGGGGTCAGGTTTTATGGCCTTCACGATCGCCATTATCTGTCATCTTTGGATTTCTTCCTACAGAGCCATCCGAAGAAATTGCTCTATCGAAACCTAGTTACTAGAGAGAGAGAGAGAGAGAGAGAACGGGGGGACGTGGATACTATCCCTTTACCAAACGGTTAATCAGTATAATACCATGCCCACCACTATCTATAGCACTCCTTAGACTGGATTGGAGGACCACACGGTCATACAGGAGCCACAAAGTTCGCTCGCACCGACCCGACCTCCGAAGTCCAGCGCCCTATGCATGCACCAGGGGCTGTTTCATGATGGGCGTCCATTTTGAGCGGCCGCCCAGCCCAGAACAAGTCAATACTAGGAGTTTGTAAAGAGCTTATGTATCACATATATGGCCATACAAAGGAGTTCTTAATACATGTAGTTCCTAATACAATTAGTCAGATTATTCAGTTTAACATATTATTTTAACATAGGTGATAGGTTTTAACATAGAGCAAACAGATGTTTTCGAACAAGGTTTTCAAAACAAAGTTATGCCGAACTACTTAACACAAATATACCAAAAATACACAATGCCACCTGAAAGGTGTTCACCGTGCATGACAAGACATACGAAATAACATGTTACAGAGTTACAGATTAATACTCAAGATACATTACTGATGCAAATATGACTGATACAAGACTGATATTAATACTGGTAAAATACTAATTAATACTGCTACTATACTGATTCATTGATATAATACTGTTTAAATGGGAATGGTTTTGTACAAGTCGGTAAATAAATCCACGAAATAATACGTTATAGAGAATCAAGATATTGCGAATTAACATATCACAGATCAACGTTAAAGATAAATGGACAGACACACACAAGGATATACATTACCGTTACATTAATGGTACACTACTGACACAAATATGACTGATACTGATACAATACTTTACTGTTATAAGACTGTTAGATTACTGATATAATATGCATATACAACACTTTACTAGTATTTAATACTCACACAATACTTTACTGATATTAATACTCATACGATACTGATTAATATTGATTAATTGGTACAACACTGGTTAAATGGGAAACCTAGTTACTAGAAAAGACTTAGTTGCTCGTCTTCATGCTGCGTATACTTTGGTGGGCACAACACTGTTGCAACTTGTGTAGTTAGACATTCCACAGCGTAAGCATACATGCCTCGTTATGCGCAGTAGACATTTTGAACCTCTTTCGAAGTTTTTTTTTTTAAATCTTGCACCGGATGTGACATCATATTTTTATTTAGCTTCTTTCTCGAAAATTATTGGGCGGTACAGGTAGAGTGCTTAGGGCATTTTTTAGGTATTCTCTAGAGTTTTCCTTGTTCTAAATCTTGTTCCTTGTTCTAATCTTGAGTCAAATAATAAAAATCCCTAACAGGCGTAAAACGTATTATCTCTATGTCTGAAGTAGCTTACATAAATCTTTTTATTTAAGCAGAATTTTGAACATAAACGCACTTCCTTTTGCTAACAAATCAACCAAAGCTCTTGGTGATGCAACTAAACTAACAATCATTTTTCAATTTACAACGTTTAGCTAAATATACTTACTAAAACCTATTATAAACAGTTTTTAATTATAAGGAAAATAAAATTATAAGAATGGAAAAATACAATCAATTTTTAATTCATTGCCTTGTATAAAATGAAAGAAAAGAACATCATTCTTTCCATATTTTGGCAAATATTCGTGAGCACCTTAACACTTTTTCAAAACCTAACTTGTCGTGAATTGTCTTTCCCTTATTTTGCTGAAATATAAAAAAACGATTAATTAATTTAACTTATGCGCCTTAAATTATGCGGTTATATTTTGATCCACTGGCTGAATGATAAAAGTGATATTAAGTGGTAAATGAAAAACTTCTACATTTTCGCACAAGTCACTCAGTTTTGTTAAATGACGAGGTGCATTATATAATATAAATTAGATTTTAAAAGCGATTTGCAACACCTTTCAACTTCAGTGTGAAATCAGTTCTTAACTCGATTTGTCCATACCAATTTGTCCAATTTTTCCAACAACTAAAGTTTTTAACATATGCAGTAATTCGAATTTGGAGCCCAATAATTGAAATTCTGCTGTCAAATGATAAACTACAATAACCAAAGTATTCTTGTACCTACAAATAGATGTGATAAAATTATGATCTTATACGATTTAAAGAAGCATTTGGAAACTTTTGACATCACTTTTGCTAAAGTACATAATTCTGGACAACATAATTTGCATACGATTTTAAACAAAACCAGCGTAATATCCGAAACTGTTTTATAACAGATCACCTTATAATATGTGAGTGTTGCATTTTTAATTCAATTAATTAAAACGATTTATAAAATGCATTGAATAAAATCTAATTCAAATTTACCCTCTTCCGTCATTAAAATTCCAGAATCGGTTTCTTCCCTTAGTTACAATATGTTCCGAAATTTGTGGATAGAGATAAAAATATTCGAATCGAAGGAAATTCGAAGAAAGTTACATTTTTAGATATCGCTTTGAACACTTTTTTATTCCTGCTTCCTTTTATCTATTCACTATTCAGATCACCCAAGAAAAAGACTTCATCAGCGACACATTATTTAGCTTCATTAAGCCGCCATTGACTATATCGGCAGGGTGCCAGTTTAAACTGAAAATAGGAGACCAGCTTAATGTCTGTTTTAAGAAAATTTTCGAATGAATTTCAGAACTTAACTCCGCCTCTAGCGCGTGTCAGATCTATAATATAAAGGACAGGAAAGGGATCAAATCATCCATATAGCTCTTAATCTAGCCAATATCAAGATTACCTTCGCTCTCTTGGTGGATTCTGCACTCAACTTCGAAATGGTAAGAACTTCTCAATGTATTATTCAATTTTGTAATAAGTGTCCACAAAACCATCTTGCAGTCAGGGTCTAATTACCACCCATGTTTGCCAGCTCCCAGCCTAGGGGCCCAGAGATCAGGTAACCCCAAAATCAGGCAGTAATTGTTCTTTAGCTCAGAATACCCTGATAAAATTGAGGGAATTAGGCGTTGAAGACATATGGAAGTCTTAACATGGGCTCAAATGCCAAGTGTCTGATGTTTCACATATTTAATATAACCTCATTCCTAACTTTTGTGAATGATTGACAATTTTCAAATTTATGATTCATTGCATGAGATCATTTTTACTTCAAATATTACCAAATATAAAATATCACTGTTATGATGAATCAGTACAGATTATACTTAAATAAAAGTAAAGGCTTTATTTTTTAATGATGTTAAAATAATGAATTTATTTTCTTAGTCTATCTAAAAATGAATTAGATTTTATCACATTCTAAAAAAAACACTTTCTGCATTATTATGATAAATTACTAAAGATTACTTTTAAATGAAAATAATGTTTTTATATTCAAATAATGATGAAATAACGAATTAATTTCCTTATTATATCTTAAGTAGCGTTAAATTATTTTTATTCCGAAGAACTCCAAATATGAAATACCATTTTCTGTATTATGATTAATTACAAGTAATCACTCTTTAATGAAATTAATGTCTTTATAGTTTAGTGACGGTAAAGTGATGCAATTCTCTTCTTAGTATTTTTATTTTCTTACTTAATTGGAGCGAAGGCATTTAAAGGTATAATTTTGTTTAACCGAAACTCATTTAATTGTGTACTTAGATTTTAGTATACGGAAAATAATACTGCTGTAACCGTAAGAATTACATTATTAAAAAAAGATGCATAATAATTTTAAAAAATTTGAAAGTATTCAGATTTTAACGTTCACCAGAACGGACTGTTTTAAAGTGTAATATAATTTGTCATCATGCATTATCAATAGATAGGGCCAGGTGGAAAAGCGAAACATTTGATATGATACTAGATGAATATATATTTAGATTAATATAGGAACATTCTGCATGTTTTGTGTATTTGAGAAATGGAAATATATATATATAAAGTAATTGTGAAAAATATTTAATGTTTTTGATAAAGTATATCATGAATTAAACGCATTTTTAACTGAGTTTCAGAAATTAAAAAAATAATAATATTCTTAAGAGCTGCATCTGTTCCTTTGAAATAGTTAGTCAGATTCAGTTTGAAAGACAAATAGCTTACATTTTGCCGAATGACAACGTACTTCAATTAAAAGCGAAACAACGCAAAATTGAGTTCCGATACTAATAGTCATTTTGAGCTAAAACGAACGTAAAATATGTTTCAAAATACCTAAGTCTGTAGGGATGTCAGAATTAAAAAATCTCTAGAAGGGATGCTCAAAATATCTCTAGCGATGTCATCATTAAATAAAAGGGGAATAATGCGCTTAAAAGAAATGGAAGAAAGATTTTTAAATAGTTTACTTAAAGTAGTTTGCGTTCTTAAGACGTCGAATTTCTTATAACACACAGCATTTTACTGCTTATAAATAAAAAATAAACAAAACAACAACAACCCCCCCCCAAAAAAAAATCTGAAAGGTTTCACTTTCTAAATTACGTCTAAAGGGAAGTTTTTTTTAACATTTTGTGTGTTACCTTTATTTATTAAATATCATGTTCTTTGCACTTAAACCATTAAATTCAGTTCAACAGCTATATCGCAAAATAATTTTAAATTGAGCGTACCTTTAGAACTTCCGATACAGAATCTCGCGCTGGAGATAAAAATGTTTCTTCCCTCCCCCGTACAGTGTTGTCATTGCTTGCTTTGGAATCGTTTAGTCTGTTAATCGAAATTCGTTGAAGTATTACAAAATATGAAATAGATAATAAAGCAAATTTCAAATTCAAATTACGGCTTCCACATGCCCATATTCTATGGAAGATTACGTTATTCAAATTTGGGTGGCTCTAGCTACCGTTGTTTTTATCACAATGCGAGAAACATATATACATTCATGCAGATTCTTCATTATTTATTTTTTTTAATATAAAACAGGGAGATAATATTTGGTGGCAACAATTTGAAAAGTGAAACAATGCTTATCGTGAATCGACGCAAAATGCCAAAACGAAATTAATAGTCTTTCTGGGCAAATTTCCCCGTTGGACTAATAAATAAAAGCGCATTCTTAACAGTTTTAATCACTATCATTCCAATTCTTTTTTAATTTTGAAAGCACAACTATTTTGTTGTAAAGATTCTGTACTGTGTACTTCTAAGTTCCAGTTGAATGGGAAGAATCTTAACTAGTAAGCTAATAATCGCTTCAGTTCACGGGGTAGAAAACAACAAGTGAGAAGGGTGAAATAACCCTTTATTATTCCAACTAAAGTTTAACTCCATCTTGGAGTTGTACAATAAAGCCGACACTGTGGCTTGAACTTAAGAGACTAAGAATTAAACTAAATTAATTTTAACTAAAGGAGATATAGCCGAAGCTATCAAACTTCTAACGGAGTTGGCCCCTTAACGCTAATTGACTGCGAAGCTATCAAGGGCCTAATGTACGGCCGAGTGTAATAATAGCTTAAGAGAGAGTAGCCTAAAAAGGCGGACGCGTGCTAACCAGAATCTTTGGTTCTCTCTGACTAAGACAGTAGAACTTTGCGGTTAAATAACACTCTTCCTCAATTTGCAATCAAACGTGATTCTAAAACTACGTTCTGGCCGGAAGTGGTAAGTTGAAATTAAAAAGCGATAGGAAAGGAAGTTTAACTCAAAAATTTAACTGTTAATAAAATTAACATAATCCTTACATTGTATTTCATTAAAAAGCATTATTTCGCCGTTATTCGTAATACTTATAATATATTAATAGATATAAATTATTATCAGTCTCAGCATTATTCGGTTTGCATGAGAACTGCAGATACAGAACATTTGCAGTTTTACATAAGATTATTAATTTGATACAATATAAATTAGAAGGGATTTTAAATACAGCAATACCTCGCAAAATTGAGCTTCAATCGATCTGGAATCATTGAATTTCGGTTTGAAAATTACAAAATAAGCTAAATTTTAATTGAGCAAAATAAAAATAATAAGTTCTAAAACATGGTACACAAATTGAATTTTTAATACATAAACTATTGATACATAACTATTGTTCCTCTCTCTTTTCGCGCAATTTTGTGTGCAGTTCTAAAGCTATACGACATGCTACATATTTCAATTTTTTATGCGGTTTTCCATTGCGTATGTATGCAATACCTACGCTTGGGATGCTGGTTCTAGAGTTATGATAGATATAATTAAGAAACGTAGAGTCTATTATAATTTAATGGAAAATAGACAGCAGTTTGGGTTTCAGAGAGTTAGATTCTGTCAACGTAATTGAGTTCATTAAATCGAATGTTAATGAATTAGGTAATGAAACACTCATTAACATAGATAAAGAGCTTGTGAAGAACGGAAAAATGATTTGGATAAAAACGACTGTGCTAAAGTATGCCTAAATTATATTTTTAAACAATAGATACGTTTCTGAAATACACGTGTAGAACAAGATAATGTATTTAAAGAAAGAAATACTATTGTTTCAGAATTATAAAATCAGAAAACATAATTTAAAAAAAATCGGAATATATTCGTCTTTTACCTTTTATTTATTTCAGCAAACTACGCATAATAAGTCACATTTAACTGCCAAACTAGCATCCAAGAAAGTTTTCATTTAGAGTCTACAAAGGAAACAAAATTTTATATCTTTAAATCCGACGTATTTTTCCCACTTATTTGAAAAATGAAGGAAATAAAGTTACATATACATAATTAGTTGAGTTTAGTATAGTAACAGATATATACAGTGGTGGCCAAAATTGTGGACACTTTTGGAAATTTTTATGTTTTTGAACTTTGTATGCTTATAGAAAATGTTACGTTTCGCAAAATGAAAACTTGTACATATCATTTTAAAGAGAATTTATTACTGAATTCAATACAAAACACAAAATTCAATTATTTGCAATACAAAAAAGTTAAACGATAATAGTTATCGATATACATTAGATAGTGATGATTGCAGTGAGTTATCAGTGCTTAGTAGAGTACCCTTTATTTTTGATTACAGCTTCACATCGATGTTTCATTGAGCTGACAAGAGTTTTAAGCTCTTCTTTCGTTATTACATGATGCCAGGAAACAATTATAGCCTCAATTAGTTCCCTTTTATTTTATTTGATGGGCGCCTCATTCGGACAAGAGTTTTCAAACGGTGCCACAAATTTTCGATAGGATTGAGGTCAGGACTGTTTCCTGGCCATGACAACAATTTAGTGCTCTTTGTACCAAACCATTCTTTCGATATTTTGGCCGTGTGGCAAGGAGCAGAATCCTGCTGAAAAATAAACGAAGCATTGTTGGAAAAGAGATCTCTGATGGAAGGTAGAAGTTTTGGTTCTAGAATAGTGTCAATGTATTTTCTGGCAATCCGTGTCCCATCGATGACATGAAGGCGACCAATACCATCTGCTGACATGCATGACCAAATCATAACACTAACTGGGTTCTTCACAGTTGCTTGAATGCAGTCAGGATGTAGCTCTTCTCCTATTCTACGTCTTACATATTTTCGCCCATCACTACCGAATAACGATATCTTAGTTTCATCACTACATATAACTTGTGACCACTGATCATCTGTCCAATTAATGTGTTCCTTTGTCCCCTGTAGTCTTTTTTTTTTCGCTGCTGAAAATTAAGATAAGGCTTTTTTCTTGGAATTCTACCTCTCAGTCCAACATCTGTTAATCTTTTCCTGATTGTTCTTGAACTGACAGAAACATCAGCATTATTCAGATCACTTCTGATGGCCGCTGATGACTTCTTTCTATCTTGGAGACATAGTCTTTTTATTCTTCTGTCATCAATAGATGTGGTTCACCTTTTTCGGTCTTTTTCTTCTTTGTTTTTTATTGAATTTGTCTCCTGATATCGTAAACAAAAACTTTCGGACTCCAGATGTAGTCACTGAACCACCCACCTTTCTTGCAATTTCAACATAGGAAAGACCACTTTCTCTTAACACAATAATATTACATCTCTTTCTAGGTGTCCAATCTACTCTTTTATTTGATGTCATTGCTTCTTGACTAAACATTAAAAATGTTTACAAAAATTCCTACTTGTAATTTCAGTGTATAAGAGACAGGTCCTCCTTCTACAGAAAAAAAGCAAAATAATGAATTGTTTCAAGTGTAAACATGGTGTCAGCTTCTACTGGCAGTTACTAACATTTGATTGGCTCTAAGAACAAGAACAGTGATTGGCCAGGAAAGCTAGACATTACAAACCACTTAATAACTGTGTTTTTTATTAAGTACATATAAGTGTATATAATTTGCTGTAATTACATATGTATAACTTGTTCATATATATAATTTAATTGCTTGTTTAGTCTATTGTATATGTCACTTTGATCATATGCATGACAAAACAAACTGTTGCGAAACTTGAAAAATCAAATGCAGAGCATTGTTGAAAATCTTATTTTCTTAGATAGGTCTAAGGTATTGAGGAAAAAGATCCTGTAGATCAAACGCACCTTTCTGTATTGAATCACTATGAACCCCCATAAATTTCTAATTCTTGATTTTATGGTTTTAACCAAGATTTCAAAGAAACGATTAGTAATAAATCAATTAGAATTATTTGTCAGTGACAAAAATATTGACTAAAGCAAAAATGTAGACATTCAACTCTAAAGTCTCGTTATAACGACGCTGAAGATGGTTTTTCCCCGACCGCGGCATTAGTGTACTTTCTAAGATCTCTGTTTCGACCAATTCGCTTGATTTCGACCATTTGAGAGTCATCTCGTAATTTCCTTACTATGCCAGAAATTAGGTTACTTAAGAAGGCTGACCAAACATTTCAGCACATTCAACCAAGGGCGAAAGTTTACAACAATGATAAAAAATATACTGAACAAAGAAAAGCGCTAAACGGGCGTTATAGGCATTAAATCGATGGTCTAGATGCGACCTACGATTAGCCATTTGATCATTACTGCTCTGAAACTCTGCTAAAGAATATTTCTGCTCAGAGAAGTTACAATTAGACATTGATTTCATCTATTACAGTGAACGTCTGTGAGGCAGATTCTACATCAGGTTACTTCCTAACAAGACCTGATTACCACCTAAAGGACTAAGTGTAAGGACCCAAGCTTTCAAGAGCCATAAAATCAGACTATATTTCCTCATAATCGTGTTTCTGCTGATAACAACAAGGAACACGGGCGTTAAAGATCATTGAAAGAATTCTACGCCTGAGGTTCCAAACTATCTCAATCGGGCCTTACTTTGTAAGCTTATAAGGTATTTTCTCCCTCCTTTCCGTATGTCTTCGTGGTGTAATTGGAAGCATACTCGACATGTATTTGAGGGGTCCAGTGTTCGAGTTCCGGCGAGGGCACTGTATATTTTTCATGTCTCCTGCTTCAAAAAAAGCCCTACTGACTCTGCAAAGCTAAAGTAATCTTTGCCAGAATTCAGTTAAGGGATAAATACTGCAAGATCTTCTAATGTAATGATGTATATATTAGCATAACAAGCATTCACTAAATAGACTTTATTTACTAAAATACCTTAATATTTGATCTACACTCATGTCCAAAATTATCTTAACATACCCAAAAATGATGATATTCAATGAAATATCGAATCAATGTGATCCATATTTGCAGGGAATGTGTGAAAACCAAGCCTAATTAGCATTATCCAATCAAAAGTAATCAAACGGTTTGTAATATGCAAATCTAGGCATTACGTCATCCAAGGGTGAATCAAGCGCTTTGCGCAAACTGAATATTTGAGTGAATTTCTGCAACATAGCGTTTGATTTCAGTGTGTAGGGACTCAAAGCGGTTTGTTATGGCTTCGAAGTATCATTTGGAAGAATCTGTAAAGTGGCGAATTATCGGCCGTTTAGAAGCAGGGCAGTCAATCATGGAAACAGCCACATGTCTGAATATTTCAAGACAGACAGTCTCTAAGCTATGGAAACAGTTTCAAAATGATGGAAGTGTTGTAAGGAGGCCTGGACAAGGTCGGAAACGAATGACAACTGCTTCTGAAGATCGGTATCTGGCATTAACTGCCCGTCGTAACAGAAAGGCTACTGCTCGCCAGTTAAGTTCAGAGCTTGCAGCCGCCACTGGAACTGTTGCATCACGGCAAACAATATACAGAAGGCTTAATGAAAAAGGCCTTTATGCCAGAAAGCCAAGGGTATGTGTTTTACTGTCTTCACAGAAAAAGAGGGATCGCTTTAATTGGTGTAAAGAACATCAAAACTTGGACTGAACATCAATGGTCCCATGTTCTCTTTACTGATGAGTCGCGGTTTAGTTTAACTGGTGATTCTAAACGTGTTTACATCTGGAGGGAGTCAGGAACACGAAATGATCCCTCGAACATTGTGGAACGTGACCGTTTCGGTAGTGGAGGTGTGATGGTATGGGGTGGAATAATGATCGATGGATACACGCCCCTACACGTGTTCAGCAGTGGATCTGTGACAGGCCAGATATATCGAGATGAGGTCTTAGATCCTTATGTAAGACTTTTCAGGGGTGCATATGGATCTGACTTTTTATTTATGGATGATAATGCCCGTCCACATCGAGCAAACCTCGTTGATGAATTCCTTGAAAGTGAAGACATTAAGCGAATACCTTGGCCACCAAACTCTCCTGACCTTAACCCGATAGAGAACTTATGGGACTACCTTGGAAGAGCAATTGCACGTATACATCCTCCTCCTAGAGATGTAAATGCTCTGAAGACGGCATTGCTGGAAGAGTGGAGATTAATTCCCCAAACTGTGGTTAACAACGTTATTTCCAGCCTTAAAAAAACTTTTTGATATGTGTGTACAAGTCAGGGGAGATCATATTCCATATTAAATTCGTAAGACTTAATTCTTTTTCTGAATCATTCCTTTTTTTCTTAACTCTCTTTGTCACACTTTATTACCATTTTTATTGTTTCATGCTACAATTTTATATCATATGAGGTGATCTTCAATTTTTTCTTTTGCATTTATGTGTCATCATGTTATGTATGATTCCACGAAAATTCATTAAATTATAAGTCATAGTCTCTGAGAAATCCGTGAATTTATGCATGTAAACATAATTTTGGACATGAGTGTAAAACACATCGATCAGCTTCATAACATTGTGTTGACGTCCTTATAGTGTTGAGACATTAACATACCCTTTCGGGAGACCTTAAAATCTGAAACCTTTCAGAAATTAATTATTTATTTTTTCGGTTTTATTTCCTACTCTTTAAATTAAAAAAAAATGTCCCACCTAAATTTTAAATAATTTTCTAGATTCGTGTTCTCGGTCTTCTGACTTTTCTGACGATGATAGTCAACCTTCATGCCTATCCGCCATCATTCTTCAAGTATATAGCTCTAGGATGCAGAGGGGAGCAAAATATACAGAATTTGGCCCGTTTGGATCGTCTGTGTGAAGAGTGTTCCAACATTGTCAGACAGCAAGAGGTTCTCGTAGATTGCAGGTAAGAAAGACTAATTTGAAGATTAAAACATCTTGATTTATATACCATTTATGACTATGAGAAATTAAATATTTTTTTAGATATACAGGATCTATCTGTGTTAAAACATTTAAATCCATACAGTATTGGCAGTTCATCCAAGAACTAATTTCCGATCGATTGGGTTGACTGATATGAGTGTTTTGGGTTCTAACCTTCAAGACATTATTAAGAGCATGTTGTCTTTAGATCCTTAGACCGATGAGTCTCAGATTATGCGTCGGAAGGCAGTTATGGCTGCAACTGCCTCAGTGAATGGCTGCTTCAGTGTCACGGTTAAAGCATTAAAAAAAACTATTTTTAAGTGATTATCCAGCTATTATGAGTGCACATCCTGGGCTCTAATTTCGCTCCCCCCCCCACATGTTTCGGCTGTTACTACAGTGATGTCTATCCGTGTGCATGTATTTGTGTGACGATTTCTTCGTTCAAGATAATTCTTATAACAGCCTTCCAATTTTCTTCCCATGTTTAATCTTTATCCATTCATATAAAGCTCTGGATATGGGGGCATACTTACTATTTTTGACTTCTGCTTCATAAAATGGCTGAAGAATTTAATGGCTAGAAGAAAATAATAGACTAGTCCAACCAACATTTTAACCTGAACATTTAATGGGTATATCCACAGTTTTGATACACTATGAAAATGGAAGACAGAAACATGGATATTTACAAGAAACTGTCACAATAAAAAGAAATGGAAAACATTTCTTTCATCTTTAGGATGCGTATATATCTTTTTACGTCTTACGTATCTTCTGTTGTCATGGCGGCTTCGTTTGCACCTTTTTTTTCCCATAAAGTTCTATCCTATAGCGTGCAGCGCCGCCTTTTGGTAGTGAAAGATGACATCCCGCATATCAAACTTTCACATTTTGTTTCCGTAGTTAAGCTTTCTGCACTCATATAAATATTTAATTAGACTTTGGGTAAAACTGGACAACCGGAAATGATATTTTACTTGAAGTCCATAACAGCTTTTGATGCACAACTGGAAGCGTTGTTTTCTTTAAAGAGCCCATAGAAATAGTGTAACAGCAGCATAATGTTGCAAAACTGCTAATATTTTGTTGCATATGTACACAATAACATATTTTTGCAACTGAACGAGCATTTTTTCTGATACCTAAATATCGCGGGGATGTACGTGTAGGTCAAACCTAGCTACGACTCTGAATATGTTGATACTATAGAAATAACGTAGAAGAAAATTATATTATGTTTGGTATTATTTTCAAAGTATTTATTTTGTTAAGTATATAATAAAAACTCAATTTTCTTTACTTAAAACTAACTGAATTATATATTATATAACTGCCCAATAAAATAGAATTTTTAAGAAAACAATAAAGAGGCGAACATTGATTACGTTAGTAATAAATTTACAAAAAAAAAATAAAAAATAAAAATAAATAAATAAATAAATAAATAAATAAAAAATAAAAAAAAATAAAAAATAAATAAACAGTTTTTAACATGGCGAATTGTATCTTATGAAATATAATTCAAAATTTCTTCTAACAGAATTATTTATTAGAGTAACAAATTAGCTTTTGTTTACAAATGATCAATCGGAAATGATACTTTACTTAACGCTCGTTGCTATTTTAACATGGGATTGGTGAGAGATCATGTGCTGGCCAAATCAGACATTTTTATTATGTAATTATACATACAAAGAAATTATTTCCTTTTTTTATTCTCTTAGAGGGTCATAATAAACCGCAACTGTACGCATATGAGTTATGGACTGAAAAGCTTGGGAACACTGCTTTACGAAGGCTACCCCTCCAACTATGTTATTCTTAGGCAGAATTCCTCAAGGACTTTGCTATAATTAATTAGCCCAATCTTCTGAAGCTATCAAATTTCTTCTATTTAACTTTCCCTTGTATTGACGATTATCATCTTCTTTCACGGATAGTTTTCGATGAACTGAAATGAGAACCTAAAATAATAATTATTTACCGAAAATTTGTTTATTTTTCTTCTTCGACTTTAAGATTCGTGTCCTTTGGACGATATATGTCACTTTAATGTTCTTTAAGTTTGGCTCTTTAGTTCCCAACGAATGGATAATTTTACTGTTCTTTATGTTCGTCCGATATATATCAAACTATACTGGGAAAATGTGCTACAAATTCCACAAGAATTTAAATCAGAGATGGTATCTTAAAGAACATATTAATGAATTTTACAGACGAATGAGAAAATTACTTGAAAATTGGGAAATCCGGGAAATTTTCCAACTAATAGAAAGATTAAAAGGAATGATGCCGATTTCTAATAGCGGAATGTCTTTTCTGATTGTAAGTCGAAAAATATTAAAGGCTTTATCAATGATAGGGAGAGAAATTCCTTCGCCAGTGTCAACCGATTTCAAATACATAGCTGCCAACTTTGAAATACGAAAAAACAGGAGGTTCCTCTTACGAAATCGGCAACTTCCGGGAAGTTTCGCGCTGTTTAGAGACGCCATTTCAGAAGAATCCAAATAGACAAAAGAAATTCTTTCATAATCCATGATTCAGGTTATAGAACTATTTATAATATAATTCTAATGTAAAATCTATTATTACTCTTTAATCACATATTCAAAACTTTATGTTCTTTGGCTAATTTTATTTTGTAGTTTCATTACACTTTTGTGCCGAGAAAACCCTAAGTAAGAAAGAAAAGGTTTTTATTTATCGAAACATTTTCAGAAATGACGAAAATAAAGTTAATAACTAATGTACAGATGAACTTCACATGCAGATGCCTTCATACGAATGCCTTCCTTTACGAACGATTTGGCTTTTGAAACAGCTATTCTAAACAACAAAAGCCTCGGATAACGAACTACTTCTCGAGTTACGAACGCTCAGGCTGAAAATAAATGATTTTAAAGGTGTTTTGCTGTAACTTATGCTACATAATGGACACTCAAAGACTTTTAGAAACATCATTGCAATATTTTCCACTGCTTAACTCTCATCAGTGAAGCCTACAGCAAGAGACTTTTAAAGCCCCGGAATTCCTGTAGAAAGGTATGGCCTGGAGAAAAGTATCGGTTGCAGGCAGAGACTTTGAAAACTTCGACACTATTGTCTCTCTAAGCTAAATCATGGGCTAGGAAATAAAGAATGAAAATGTGAAGTTGTTCCGAGAAAATCTAGATGAATGCGCTGAACAACAAGGAATTATAATAACTTCAGAGATAGCAACAAACGGCAATTTTGGAAGAAATCGTTTCAGAAAAACATAATCTTAGTTCTCTTATCTGTAAAATGTGTGGTAAATGGGGCAAGATGCAAAGCTTACTTGTAATTACTATCACGCTGATAAAGCAGTAACAAGCTACAGCATAAACATTTTCAATAATGGCGTGCGTACCTTAGAAACCTTTTAAAACAATGGCAACAACAAATCACACTGGGCAAATTTTGAGTGAAACGGTGGCCCATTAAGTCTCGACAAGAATGGAGCCGCTTAGAGAAAAACAAAAAGGTGAAAGAAGTTGGCTCCTAAAGAGAGACATGTTACTTATAAGGAAAAAAATTTCGCACCTAAACAACATACTTTCCTCATCATTTCGTACATATACTCGTCCATTTTCCTTTGTACAAAAATTACGTTACAGTAAATTACGTTTTATTCTGTTTTATCTGCTTAATATAGGGTTCATATTTTTGTGAGGCAGATTTAATGATTTTCATTGGGTTTGGGTTATGATCCTGTGTGAGAGATACTCTTAATTTTAAATTAGCAATCTGTAGTCCAAATAATCCACTTTACATTAGTTCATATGGTCAGTAATCTTCCTAAAGTCAGTAAACCAAAAATTATTTCAGTTTACTGACCATTCGGATTACATTAGCATTCAGGAGAGAATTAAATTGGTAAGTCGAGGTTTCACTGTATGGATAAACGCAGTAATGTACCATTTACTGACACAAGCAATGTTAGTTACAAATATTAACTAATTAAGCACTGGCTGAATCTTTACAAAATGTTTTACAAATAACGACCATAGATTAAGACATAAAATTTCATAAGAAAAATTATGCTAAAAAACCGGTGAGAATGGGGAAATGGAATTTGCACAATTTGCGATTCATTAAATCAATAAATTTTATTTATTGCAGGATAACATTTTCCTTAGTAAAGGCTAACATTTAAAAACTAACACATTTTGTGATCTACAGAGAGATGTGATGGAAAACTGGGAGAATTGGTAATTATGTAAATAACTGAGTTCGTGAGAAAGCAAAAATTCTGAAGAACAAACTTTGAAAAAAAAAAAAAAATCCATAACAGTATAAAAGGAGCTATTTTTATTTAGCTGATTGACATGACTTAGGATAGCTAGCGTTTACTGTAGCCTGTTTCTTTAAAATAGGCACTTCGCCCGTTGCCAGCCATACTATAGACGAAATACTGAAAGAAATTGTTTGCCAGTCTGATAGTAGTGATCTTTCTTCTTCTGCGATCGCAACGCATGTCGTCATCCCCACACAGCATTTATTTTCTCCACCTCATTTGAAACTATAATTCAATTCAGTCATTAATCGCGCGATTTTCAATCGGAACAAGATAAACAGAAATGATATGGGGAGAGAGGAATGAGACTAATACTCATATCATCTGCTGCAGCTGTTGTTCCACGGTTACGAGGAAAGTCGAAAGATGAAAAATAACCTTAAAGTTCCTGTTTTAAAATAAGAGACTATAACTTCGATAGCGAAATTTTCGGCGTGGATCAGATTAGAAAAACAAGTATATCCAGAAGTTTAAATAACTGAATATAATATTGAATGAAAATACGTAAGTGAAAGAAAATGGTAAAAACTGCTTGTCTACGTGTAACTCAAAAAGACTTTCCATAGTTCAAAGATTCTGTGATTATGGCTATAAGCAAAATTATAAGGTATTTCCCCCCTCTTTTCCGCATGCCTTCTTCATCACCAAAATTTGGCGATTGGGGCCCCTAATCCCCAGTCGCCCTGGCGGAGTATGTAAGGTATTTCATCCTCCTTTTCGCACGCTTTCGTGGTATAATTGGAAGCTTATTCGACGCGTACAAAAATAAATGAAGGAAAATATTGAGATAAATATATATAGAAAGAAGTTGCATAAAAAGAGCTGACTAATTTGAAATTTTAACTAAGCCAAAATTAAGCTTCGGTTTAAAACTCATTTTTTGATTGACAGAAAAGTATTGCTTCTTATATAAAAGAGACCAAATCATGGCATCAATCCCACGCTGAATTTTCATTAATTAAAATCAAGTTATAACACTCTGTGTCAGGCTGCATATCTCAAAAGAGTGCGGATGTACAGGTAATTTTCTACTGTATGTCTAACTTGATAAAATCTGACCCCCCCCCCAAAAAAAAAACTCACGAGATTTTGAACGCACGACTCAATTATCTCATATCTCTATCGCAAACTGAAGAGAATTTTTGCATACAGTCGCCATTTCCAGTAGTTTCAAGGCAGACTTAAATCTTGTTTTAAATGAGTTTGTGATCAGGATCAATTTTTCTCTTTTAAGATGAGCGTTCTCTTAAGAATTTTTGTTCAAGTGCCCGATTTCTTTCGTGAAAACACGAGGAGTATGCCCACTAAAACTCTAAAGGGCCGTTCCCACTGGGATTTATCTAACGAACACAACTAACGTAGTCGACCCATCTCCAAAACCAGTTTTTCCCCATAGGGCAGCAAGTTGAAAAATCTGAACGGAGCTAGTCGACACATGGAACTGACTTCGTTAGCTCAGATAAACCTCAGTGTGAATGGCCCCTTAAGCGCCATTCCCACTGGGTTTTATCTGAGCTAACGGAGTCAGTTCCATGAGTCGACTAGCTCCGCTATGCCTGCAGTTCAGATTTTTCAACTTGCTGCCCTATGGGGGAAAACTGGTTTTGGAGAAGAGTCGGCTAGTCAGTTGTCTCCGTTAGCTCAGATAAACCCCAGTGTGAACGACCCTTTATACCAACTAAGGGCCATTCATACTGGGTTTATCTGAGCTAACGCAATCGGTTATTCGCTATACTTGAAATTCAGATTTTCAAGTGTAGAAAAACTTTTTTTTATTTTTTTTTTTTATCTAGACGTCTCTGTTAGCTCAGGTAAACCCTATTGTGAACAGCCTTAAAGCTTATATCACACTTCCGGATGCAAACCGCAATGGCAACTGCTCCTAGAGACACTCTCCGACAGATCTAGCTTTAACGACAAGTTTCTAGAGCAACATTTTACGACGAGGACGAAATGTTTCGCTCGACGTTCTGTTTCATGAAGGTCAGCCATTCACAAAGAATGAAAGATTGTAAGGAAGATTGTTTCTGCTTATGTGTTTTTTTACTTTAAAGGCCGTTCACACTGGAGTTTGCTTGAGCTAACCGAGTCAGTTCCATGTGTCGACTAACTCCGCTATATATAAAGTTCAGTTTTTTTTTTGTTTTTTTTTATGTGAAGTTCAGGTTTCACTCGAATGTGACGAAACACAGCATGAAGAAAAACTGGTTTTTTCCAACAGCGTGAAACTAGGTCAGCTGTGTCAGATAGCAAAGGCACAGGTAATTTTTCACGTTTCTTGCTTCGCAGAACTTAGTTAAATCTCTAAAAGATTTCAGTACGTACTTAAAAGTATTGGAAGCCAAGATCCTCGAAAATTTGCGTTAGACGAGATACTGAAAGCAATTGCTTGCCAATCTGATAGTCGTTCAAGTAATTCTAAAAACCTTTTGAATGTAAGTAGGTATGGAAATGAATTGAGTAATAAAATAAGGAATGAGGATAACCCCTCTAACAAATCTCGTTACACAGAATTATGGCATATAGCACCTACTTTGAAGCAGTATAATATTTATGGTTGCATGCTTATAACAATCCGACAGTCATCGAATTTAAGTTTCTATTCACATTGAAATTAATGCTTGTGAAAATACTTTCAACATTTAAATTTCAATAAACATTTAAACCTTAATTTGTTTTCTAGGGCAAAGTGCTTTGCAAATCCACTGTTTGTAAGCTGCGTAGAAACACTTGTTGAACGGCACCTCCAACATGAAGTTCTGGCAATAGCTGAGGAAATAGAAGCCTCCTCTAAGAAGAAATCTTGGGAAGAGCAGAAGATATACAATTGATAATCTTCCAACTTACAACTGATGATGCACAACTTACGATGCATTCTTGCCCTTCACTCTACAGCTAAGGAAAATGAGGACCATGAAAACATTATTTTGCATTTGAACATACAAATCCGATGACCAAAAAAAAAAAAAAAAAAAAAAAAAAGTGTAATTTCTTATCTTGATTTCTAATGCTCTTCTTCAAAATTACTTTAGAATTCGATTAATAAAGAATACCTAAATCGCTGACTCTTGCTATTTGCAAATAAGTTACACACCTTTGCATTAATCAACTGCTCGAATTTTAAAAACACTTACCGCCTTAATTTCATTAAGACCACAGCCTTGTAACAGAATTTTAAACTTTGCAACTTTTGCAACGGAAACGAAAGTCAAATTTATTCCACGCAAAACATGATTTTTCAATATAAATTTTACTTCAAATACCCGGATTACTGAGATCAAAGTCGATTTGAATATTCAAAAAGTTCGCATATGCTCTATAGACTATAGGTATTGCCGTAATACATGTGAAGAGTTTTTTTTTTTTTTTTTCCCCTTGTTTATCTCATCTTAGTTAAACAAAGAATACTGAACTAAAAACAACATAAATACAATGCATCATCTCCAAGAAAGAATAGTGGGATTTTATAAGATCTGAGTGAAGCACGTATCATGCGAAACGAACTGAAAGTGCTTTTATTTAACTTTGTCGCTTAAAAAATTATAAAATTAATAAGTTTCAACGTGTACGCCATTAACAGCACACAAATGCCAAAGAAATATTAAGTTTTTCGTTTCATATTTTGGAAAGAACAACAGGAGTAAAAACCTATGTTATTCTCTCCTTGAAGTGATCAAGATTATCTGTATTGTTTTCGCTACAAACATCATTTTTGTAAAGCCAAGGCAGGAGCTAGATATTTTGCCGCCTGGTGCAATCTCTGCGGGTCCTAAATCCTCCTGCTGCCCAATGCCCCGATTTAAAAAAAAAAAAAAACTGTCAATTCTAAAATTTTTTTTTTCAGTGCTTTTTTGAGTTCTAAAATTTCCCCACCCTAAATTCTATCGCCCGGTACAGCCGCACAGATTGCACCGGCTCTACTCAAAACCTCAAACAAAGAACTTAAATGGGGTAAGATCAGGCTTTCTTGTGAACCATGGAATCTCATTGAAATAAGATCTGCAACTCAACTCCCTTTGAACAAACAAACGGATTTGTAGCATGTCTAAGTATACACTGAATTTTATTTTCAATAAAGAAAAAAAGGCCAAAAGTTTCATTACACATTTTTACACATTTTAGACACATAGTTTAATTACACATCAGATCACCTTATGAGAAACTCGAATGTGACATGCATATTTTCAGAGCACCATATTCTGCAAATGTGGCGATTTACAGAACCAATTACATGAAACGTAGACTCATACAAAGCAATTATCACTTATTGTCAAGTCTCTGTAGCAGGCTAATAGGATACTCCTTCTCTTGCTGTTCGAGTGGATTTAAAAAAACTGAATCTTGAACCGAGTCAAAAAGTGAGAGATTGGGGCATAACCCCAATCTCTTACACTTATGCTTATTATATTATGCTTATGCATCCATGGACTTTTGAGAATTGTGAGCAAATTCCAATTTACCAGTGTTTATCACTTTTTACAACCCATGAAAGCAATAAAAATACAGGCACATAATCTTTTTGAGAGAAAAAAATTAACAAAAGCATTTTTAGTTCATTTCGCATAATACATATTTCACACAGATCTCACGAAGACCCACCTTTCAATCTTGGAAGTATATACTAAGAATAATTAGAACTTTAGGAGTTAAAAAAACGGGAAATGTAGCAATTTTCTTGATACAGCTTGAAGTGGAAAGTGAAAGTGAACTCCGAAACACAGCATGAATAACACGCAAAAAGAAAAATCGTTTTAACTACGGATATTTATGAGAAATAGTGTTTGATATTTACAAGAATTGTTCACATGAACGATCAGTAACTGCAGTACGTGCATCACAGCAATGACGAATCTCATTTACAAGAAGCAGACTGACTTTTCTTAAGATTTTATCGCCAGAAATAACGCCGCTGCTGCAGAGTGACGTAACAATCTGAGTATCATCCAAACAGCACACCAATCAAAATGTCGTTGTGATATATTGCAGTTGGTGTTCGTTATTTGAACGAATATCAAGCATTATTTTTTTGAAAATATCTGTGACTAAAAAGACTTCGTCTGCATGTTCCTCATATTTACTGTGTTTTAGCTTTCACATTACATTACACTGTATTACTTGATGCAGAGATCGTTGCAATCTCACTGGCTCTGGAAAACCTCAAGATAAAGATCGATTGTTTTCTCTAAAGCAGTTATTCTAGTCAATTCCAAAGCAGCCATCTAGGCTGTAGTTATAAATCATGACACAGATACCCAGATTATCTCAGAAATAAGACAAACCTTCATTATGTTTGTTTTGCATATTGTCCCTGGCTTATTATCATCTTTTTTTTTTCATTTGCTTTTAAAAAATAAGTTTTGTAATGCTGTACTTTCAGACGAATTAAGATTTAATATATTTCTGTGATAAGGACGAATTCCTGAATGGCGAAAGCCAAATAAAAAAAAGGGAGTCTGAAAAACTTATTGTTTACTCTTAAGCAAGTTAGCAGACATAATGGTTTGGGGATGCTTTGTTGCCTCTGGTATGGAAAAAAAAAAAAAAAAAAAAAACCAGTTTTTATAGAAAACAACATCTTTTTTTTTTTTTTTTTTTTTTTTTTTTTTTTTTTTTTTTTTTTTTTTTTTTTTTTTTTTGTTTTCTTTTTTTTTTTTTTTTTTTTCTTTTTTTCGTCAGTATGAAGATATAATCTTAAGGAGAATTTGAAAGCATATCAAGAAAACTTCGAATGCAAAATGCATTCAAGTGCGATCAGGATAAGGATCCTAAACATAAAGGCAAAAATGCTGGCTTGGGATTATCACACAACTGTCCCGAAGTTATCAGAACTCCTCCACGTTCTCGGGACTTATATCCTATTGAAACGTATATGCTGGAGAAAGAATAGGGAAACAACATTTCTTCAAAAGCTTTATTAAAAGAAATCCCTCCGGAGGAACAGTTCAAAATAGAACATACTTACATGGAAAAAATTAACTAAATCCATGTTAAAATGCATGAATAGTGCACTTTTTGTTAAAGGATATCCACAAAAAATATTTAATGTGCTGTTATTATAATTTTTTTATTTATTATAAGCAATTTGTGTTGGTATATATAAGTATTACGCGAGTTCCTCTTGAGAACTTTTTAAATAATCTTTTTTTTTATCAAAAACACTTTAAATAAATTTTTCCAAAACAAGCAGGTTTTTTTTTTTTTTTTTTTAAATTATTAACAGTACACGTGCAAGAAGGTCCTTCGCTACTATTTATCAGTTGTATTTTCAAACAAAACTGAAAAACACAAGTGTCCGAAAACAAATGGGAGCCACTGTAGTTTTATGTATAGCAGTGGATCCAATGTTAAATTTCTTCTGTATCAATTGATAGGAATAGTGATTATTATTAACAGTTTTCTAGCGGCCGAAACATTTTCTAGGGGGTACATCTGACAAAGATCTTCCTGTGCATTCTTCACCCACGAGAAAATTTCGACGTCTACAAAATTTTGTAAATCATATGAATACAGTGGCACGAGACAAAGCTTAATTTACACATGCTAACTAACGGTAGATCTTGAAAGCATTCTTCATGATTTAATCCCATTTTAAAGTAATAGAAAATCATCGCGAGAAAATGCTCTTATGTCACTTCCATTTTCTTTTATTCAAAATTTATTGTACGATAGATAAACTGCAATTGTTAAAACAATTATCAGCTGCGAACATAAAAGTTCAAATTTACATATCTAACAAATAATGTTTAGCACATATCATCTGCCTCTGTCTCAAAAACTTCAGAGTTATTTACGTATCAAAAAGGTTGTAACAGGAGGGTTATTTTTAACTTCTAACTATACTGATTTCAAGTTCCTTCTTCCAAAACTGAATCAGTTATCCATAACACTTTTAATATTAATAGTCTGGCACTTTTATTCCTGCTGGAATCTCGATCTATCACTTCTCAAGACAATGAAAGAAATAAATGGTAAAAACAGAGAGATGATGAGCCAAGAAATTATAACACATTGAAAATAAATCATATTTATTACTTTCTACAAAAATACATAACATTTGAAAATTACTTTTCACAAAAAAAGACGTACATTGCCTTTTCCAATTTCCATGAATTTTGCTTCAAATGAAAATATGATAATTCAAGATTTAAAATATTTCGATGATTCTTGTCCTTTGACCTCTCTGCTCATAAGTGCCCTTTTTGTGAAGCTCCAGAAGTCTGAAGCAACTCTCTTCCGTCTTTTCAGGCAGCCTACAATTAGACCAGACTCTAAAAGACAGGTGGGGACTTCTCGCAGCATCTTTATAACTGACAGGGAGAAGGCGTAAAGGACCCTTTTACTTATCCAAAGTTTAACAGAAGGCACCAACATGTGTTTACATAAGCCAACACTTTTGGCTTTAAATCAAAAATGATAAATGGCTTCACAGTTTAACTAGCATGCAAGCTGGTTCTGATCAAAGTCCGCATAAACATCTCTAATGGATTGATATATCGATAGAAGAGCTGAGCGGAATTGTTAAGCACCTCCACAACTGCTAAATGCATGATTGAAGCGTCACTTGGTAAGATAACATCAGCATGCACTAGGGGCCCAGAATGAAATGATAAGCATGTAAAGATCTGGAGAAAATGAGATATGTGGAATCAGGCTCAGAACATCTTTGGACATTCTGCATTCACTGGTGGCAGCATGATGGAGTAGGATGGAATTTCAATGGGATATTCACTCAGCTGCACAATTTTAAAAACAGTTCTGTGATGGTCGTGCGGTATTGGGATAAGTCGTGTACCCCATTTTGAGACTCTACATTGCACCAACTGAAGATGATTTTCTTCTTATGGATGATACAGTCAGTCTCCATCAAGCCAACATAATTAACGAGAAGCTGAAAAGTGAGGGCTTTTCTCATATGCAGTGGCCGCCATATTCCCTCGACCTTCATTCCATTGAAAATCTTTGGGTTGCCCTTGGGCAAGCTG